AGTATTGGTACTCGAAGCAATAGTAACATGGAAGGAATAGGAATAGGTTCCTGCATCATAAAAATAAGAAAGAGCAGTTCAACATGTTTCAGCAGACTTTTTATTCAAAACAGATAATATGCACATGTGAAATAAAACAAGCAGGCCTGGTAACCCTTGCAAAAAGTTGACAAAAACATTTTGAACTTTACCCTCCTCCCAATGCCGATGATGCTAAGAATATTTCCTCCTTGACGGAGGATGAAGATGTGAAGAGAGGGGTGGGCAGGTATAAAAAGACTTTGTAAAAAGCAACTTCTTTCTTAACTGAGGTATGCTTATATCTGTTTTACCTGCAAAAAATCTAAGGTCAATTCCCAGCATCTCAAGTTTAAAAAGGATCAGGTAGCATGAGATAGAAAAAGCCCCTGAATGCCCCCTGCCAAAATGTGCTGATTTAGATGAACAAAATCTTTTGACCCTGGGTGAAGTAGTTTCCATGGTCTGTCTCATAGAGCTAAATTTCAGAACCTGTCATCAGTCCTAAAATGCAGCCTAGAACTAACTAAATAAAAGTTCTCTGAGGATGCTGAGACTCCCAACTGCTGATAAATGGATTGTTTGCAATGAAACTGGCATATCTCCAGTTACCCAGAACTGAATGTGTGTGTAAATAGACATTACGGTAAATAATTTTTTATCAGGTTAGATAAAACCCAACACATGAAAAGTTTCAGTGTTTAATGCCTGCTTCGGCCACAAGGGTGGGATAAATCACCAGCCACGTAACGGGAAGAAATTTCTTTAGATCCCTTTCCTTAAACGCTTGTCAGTGAATAACATTGTTTGTCTTAAATAGAATGGTTTCACTCATTCAATCCGTATCACCTCTTTGATTTTGCTTCTATGAGGATTTGGCTCAGTTAAGATACTTAAGCATGGCTTTTTGACTGACACTGAGGTATATGCCATTATAGACAGTAAGACCCCCCCATATCCATGGGGTTTATGTTCCAAGAGCCCATGTGCATACCTGAAACCAGGGATAATATGAAATCGTATATTTTTCAACTCCCAGCCCATGCATACCATAGAATCACACTGGAAGACCTAGAAATACCTAGAGAGAACATATTTTTTTTTCCAAAAGTGGGTAAGTGAAATTGCAGATACTGAATTCGTGGATATGAGGGTTGTACTGTGTGTGTGTATGTACATTCATTCATTCACATGGGTTTTTATCATGCCTGATGAAGTTCATGGATATGCATTTGCTGGTTTCATGCACACTTTACAGACAGCCTGAAAGTAATTTTATACAATATTTTAAATATCTTTTTGCATCAACCAAAGGTGTACATTGAACCATCAGAAAACAAAAGTGTCACTCAGCCACCCATAAAAATGGTTTTGGTTTTTAAAAATATTTTGGAATTTCAGATAAGGGAGACTCAACCTGTACCTAAATTCTATGGTTTCTTACAGTCATTCTGGGTATTACTCCTCCATAATAACTTTTGCATTCTTGTTGCCTGGCCCTTTAGACCAAGGGAAGCTATGGCTGTTAAGATGGTATCAAACCAGTTTTGATTATTGGAAGTGCAACAATGCTCAGCCTTGGAGAGGGCAGGACAAATTGCTTAAGTATCCTCCCTTCTCATCCATCTATATAGACCCTTTTGTGGTCTAAACAGAGACTCTTGGGAATCTTCTCTCGCCTCTTCCCATCAGTTCATCTTCTTGACTAGAATGAGCCTCAGTTAGATCAGAACCCTTCTAATGTTCCTACAACAAAAGTATTTTGTTTGCTTTTCTAAGCCATTCGAGTCTTTGCTCTGTAATCAAGATCTCTAGCCACTGCACAACCTCTCCATTAATCACAGCATGCACCTGGTTCCAATGATGCAGTACAAATGAGAAAACCAACCCTGCAGGGACCTATGTAGAGACGTGCATTCCTCAAATGTATCTGAGGAAGTAGACTTTAGTCTAGGAAAGCTCATGCTGCCAACTTCTTTCTTCCAGTTAGTCTCAAAGGTGCTACAAGATCTCTACATACTGATTCTTCAGACTAACAGGGCTGTATCTTTGAATTCTACCCCTGCAGGGATGGTGCATGAACCTGATGAAACAAAGCAACAAAAAGGCAACTTGCATTTCCCCTGAAGGAGGAGCAACTTTAATTAAATTGAATTGACTACATCACCCCACTCCACCCAGTCTCAAAATATGCTTTTTAAAAGGAAAGGACTCTTCAGATACACTACAATAGGGCAACAAAGTGGAGAGATTGATAAGAGGTGCAGGAAAAACTAGGTCAGAGCCAATGAAAAAGATCCATGCCACCCATGTGTACATCTCCAAAAATAGAGGCGTCAGGGGACTTGTTTGTTGAGCCCCGACTCCGTTTGCTCTTCCTCCTCTTTCTTTGCCAGATGCACTGTGGCTGCATCGATTGCAGCACCCACAATTTCCACAGCCGCCATGTAGATCAGCTGTTTGTCCGGCTCAGCTCCAGGCGCTGTAGCATCCATCCACGTTGTGGCTTGGTGCATCTCCTCAGCGAACGGTAGCATCTTCCTTGTGGGACTTGGCAGCCCTTGTCCTTCTTTTTCATTGTCCACAGCAACCATCTCATAGGTCTTCAATGGCGGTGGGTTTAGGAGACCCTGTTCTGAGCCCTTGGTTGGAAAGGAAGAGGGGGGAAACTCCAGAGGAGTTAATGGCTGCCTATCCTGTAGGAACAGGGTTCCTTCTTCCTCTGGGGTGCCAGTCCCAGATGTATCATAGTGGAGTGACTCCACAACATGACTTGTGTCGCTTCCTAGGACAGGTGGCGGAAAAAGGAAACTGGCAATATGGCTCATGTCAGTGGCTAGGTCTAGTGCCGCCTTGTCATTACATTGGCCACCATCACTAGCATCTACTGCACTAGTCTTTTCTTCTTCACTGTCCTGGGTTTCATCAGTTTCTCTCGCCACCTTCTTTTCTGTCTCCCAAGACTTTGAGCTTCCCAGTAACTCATTGCTCAACCAGCGCAAATCCCGCGTTGCCATCAGCATGCCCTGCCCTCCTGGATTCTCAGCAAGATCGGCCAAATCTTCCTCCTCTTCCGCCAATCCTTCCCCCCAGAAACCACATCCTCCTTGTTCTAGGTCTTCATCTCCCCTTACAGTTTCCCGTGCCTCTGCCCCGTTTCCCCTAAGAAGATTATAAACCTGTTTCTGGAGGTTGTCCCATTCAGAAGCATTCTTATGGACTAGATTCTGTTCCCAGTGGCCACCTTCTAGAGTTAAAGAGATGCTCTTCTCTTCCTTGGCTTCTGTGTTAGGTCCCACTGCATCGTCTTCTGCCATTCTGTGGATCTCCATGCCATGCCATGAGACCCTCTGGCTTCTTTTGTTGCCCTGGATGCTGTGAGCATTATCCACGTTAGCTGGAAATGCTACTGATGGCTTTTGGTCCTCAATAGCTGCCCTATTACTCAGATGTTCTCCAAAGGTTGTGTTTATCATGGGATTAGAGGAGGTTTCTGGTTCGGTGGGAATGTGAAGATCCCCATCTTTTGTTGACCCGTGATTATTCTCAATCCCTGGGAGAACGGATCTCTTCTTGACTCGGGAGGTAATCGCTGTCCTAAATGTTCTCCATGGCTTTGTTATCCATGATCCTTCTGGCTTAATGGTTGTGTCTGTCACCTCTACCTCTGCACCATTGGAGGTAGCTTTTGCTGGACTCTGGCTTTCAGTTCTGGGTTTCCACCTCAACGGAGACTCTCCTTGAGGGTCCGCGGTTCTGCTGAGGGCAGCAACAGGCCCGCATCTCGAATCTGCTCTGTAGAGCGGTGACGCCTCCAGGCCGTGGGGTGGTTTCTTCACCTGAGAGGGACTGACCTTCAGGCACAACAGTTTCCTGAGTAAGGAGGATCCTGGCTTTGCTCCTGCAGACTCCTCACCTGGGATCCATCCCAAGATTTCTTCCCTTGGGGCTGGCTTTCTGACGGCTGGGATGGGGCTTTCATGAGCAGCTTCCACACACAGGCGGCTCTTGGAAACTGCCTCTTCCTTAGGGGACTTGGCAGCCCTTTTCTTTCTCCACCAGAATGGGCACCTCCTCTTGAAAAAACCATTTCCCAAGGTGCTCTCCCTGGTAGGTTCCCACTTGGACGTTGCGACCTCAATCCCTGAAGAAGCCCTTGAAGCCAGGTCTTTATTTCTATCACAGTGGATGGTTGGGTTGCCCTTTTTTAGCTGCTCTCTCATGTTCTGTTTGTTTCCTTCCATGAAGCTCTGGTCAGTTTTTGTTCCTTATCCATATGATTTCCCTGGGCAGAAAAGGTTGTCGAAGGCTGAAGCTTCTAGTCTTCAAGTTTTTACGTAAGGTCACTCATCCAGCCCAGGGCTCCATCTCTCTCAAAGCTACATGGCATCTTAGTCCATCCAGAAGAAGGCCTTCTCAGTTCTGTTTGCGTTCTTCAAAAAAGTCTCCCACATTTGGGTTTCTCTACCATTTCCTCACTAGTAATCATCTGTTACCATTTGACCAGATGAAAGAGCCATCTTTTATTTTCTCAGGTGGTTTTAGAAGGAGAGGTTGGAAGTGGATTTGCAATACTTCTTTACCTGGTGTCCTGTGAATACAAACACACAACATACCAGTCAAATTGGTCAGCTGTTGCAAATGCAAAATTCATCTAGTAATATCCAAAAAGGCAAAAACTATATTTCTAAGTAATTTCTGAGTAACGTGGTTCTGGGTAACAACTCTACATACCTTGAAGGATGGAGCCATAGCTGAGTCCTCACTAACCCAGTTTTGACAAAGGTACAGACTTTCAGCTGTCCTGGCACTCAGGTGGACCTCCTTTTCCCTGTTCATGACAACACTCTTTCAACCTCAGAAGATGACAGTGGCAAACCACCTCTGAAGAAACTCGCCAAGAAAACCCCACGAAAGGGTCGCCATAAGTTGGAAATGATTTGAAAGCACACAACAGTGACAAAGTTTCTAGTGTATAAAGAGCCTGTGTGGCATAGCGGTTTGAGTGTTGGACTAGGACTCTGGGAGACCAGGGTTCGAATCCCTACTCAAACCATGAAAATCCACTGGGTGACCTTGGGCAAGTCACACTCTCACAGCCTGAGGGGAAAGCAAAGGCAAACCCCTTCTGAAGAAATATTGCCAAAACACACACATACACAAGACCCCATAAGGTTGGCCTAAGCCAGACATAACTGGAAGGCACAAAACAATAACACACATTAATCCTTCCTCTCTTGTCAAAAGTCAGCTATCCTGCTCCTTTTGCTTGACAAGATGCATCCAGAGAGCCATCCCAAATTCGCCACAGATCATTTCTTTGCCGTAATCCTCTAGCCTTTAAGCTTCATGTCTATTTCTAGCCTTTTACTTGTGCCTTCCTTCCATTGGATGCTCCTACATGTCGAAAGAGTCCTTGTGGCACTGAAATGCCCTCTGAAATGCCATACAGCATTCCAGATGTTGCCATGATGAACACAAGAAAATATTGTGCATCCATCCTTTACTTCTCTGCTCAGAACAAGACAGGCAGAGATCAGGAGGGAAAGACCAAATCTTGGTTTGGAATTGGAAAGCTTTTGAGCCTGGAATGTTTTTGCTAGAAAGACTACCTCTGAACGTGGGCAGAACATGTTTGCAGCTCTTTGCTGCTTCCTTGTCCTACATATTTGATCAGAACAAGGAGTGGGAATCATGCGTCTCTCTGGATGCTGGTGGACTCCAACTCCCATCAGCCCCATCCAGCAGACTTAATGCTGAGGAAAGCTGGGAGTTGCAATCCGGCAACATCTGAAGAGCTGCAGAATTAGAAAGTGGAGGATTTCCAGATAAAAAATGAAGCAGTGCAACATCTGCAAGCCCAGCACCTTTTACTTTTAGAGTGAAAAGGGCAGTTCGAAACTGTTCCCATTTCTAAAGCCGTTCTTACTTAGTCGGAAAAAAGTCTTAGTGGATTAATTAAAAATAAAGCTCATCTGTATATTTCAAACCTTCATATTTCTTGGCACAACATCTGTATTCAGTACTCTGGGTTTTGAAAGTGACCCCCATGAAAGATCCTTCATCCTGGGGCAGCAAGTTAAATATGACACTGCCAGCCATCTGCAGTTTTGCTAAGTATTTAAGCATTCTTATTATAACATAGAATTTAGCCAGGGATATTGCAGCACAATCAACTCCTTAAGGAGTTCTTTCCTCCTCTTCGATTAAGTTAAACCGATTTAAAGGTTGCAACCCTAATGCCAACAGACCTTTAAGAGATTATTATAATATGGATTAGCTAATGGAGAATAATTGGCTCCAAAAAAAATCTCATAGTCAAAGACATGGACTTGGAAACCTCACTGGAACTATAAGCCATCTTTCTAGAAAAGTTTCACCTTATATTTGCAAATATATATTTATATTTGCAAGGCACCTCCAATCATAATGAAAGAAAAATGTGCTTCAAGTTGACTCATTTATGGTGACTCATTTATGGCTATGGAATCTTGTATATTGTAATTTGTTGCAGCCCCAGACCTCTCTGACAGAGCAGGCTGACAAAACTACAATTCCCAGAATCCCATAGCATCATTGAGACACGGCCGTTAAAGCGGTGCCAAGCTGGATTATTTCTGCAGTGTGGCTGCAGCCTCAGCAGCAACTGGTGCCTTCCAAGTCGGTGGGACAATCAACCTATTCCAGGTTTTAAATCTGCATTTTAAAGGTGCCATCCTTTACACATTTTAAGGAGCTCTCTCCAAAGTGCTGAACTCTTTCCAAAGTTCAGCACCTGGGAGAGCGCCTTTAAATATTAAACCTGGCATGGACTCACTGTTCCACCACCTTGGTCTTCATCCTTTGGGGAAAGGAAAGTACAGAGCAGTGAGAATGTAACAACCCAAGAGCATTTTTTTCCATTTTGGATAATGACAAGGCAATGACAGCTTCCTTTCCTTATAAACACCCATTTTCCTGTTTGCTCAACCTCAGCGATTGAGCATGGCAGATCTGTTGACATGGGACATGCTTAAACCTTGCTGGAGGACTCAGATGCCCCTGGCATGTTGGCAGTGCCCTCCATGGTAAAGCTGACTTCTCTTTCCATGCATGCCCACCTCCCTCCAGTTGAAAATCTTGCCTGCCTTGCCATCCCCATCCAACCCTGAATGCCTTCCCAGGAGTTTGGTGGCCTTCTCTTACCTGATGTTGCCTGGGCTGCTTCTGTTGTTGCTTTGCTCCCATCCGCTCTTGCAACTGACCATCCGAGCATCGCTTTCTGCAAAGAAGAAGAAGGAGGAGGAGGAGGAGGAGGCACACAGCCCACCCTGCCAGACTCCCCCCTCCCATCCTTGCCCATCCATGGGGTTGCCATGCCAACCCGGCTGCTTGCAAGGCATTAATGCAGTTGTGCAGAAATGAAGGAGTGCGGACATAAGGGGGATGGAGGAGAGAACACACACACACACAGAGGCTCATCCTTACCTCATTTTGGAAATTGCACACACAGCCATCTTCCATCCTTCCAGATTCCTACAGAGGATTTTTTTTTTCCCTTCTGGAAGAAGCATGTCATCTGCCTGATGGATGGATTGGCTGAGCCAGGGATACAGCCTAGTTTTGGGAAAGGTGATGGAGCATCTCTTTCCTCCCACATTGGGAGGAAAGATGGCTCAATGGATACAGGAGGATTCAAGATAGAGCAGTGAGTCTTATGAAAACCACTTTCAAGGGTTTCAAGCACCCTTTCCCCAGCCTCCAAAACACACACATACACAGCCTCCGTTTTCCCCAGCTGTAAAATGGACACAATTACAATAATGGGCCTTTTTTGGAGAGTCCAAAGAAGGTGATTGATACCATCTCCCATATGTGTTGCAAGAGCTGGAGCCAGACCCATCTGCTTGCCACAGACACAAAACACCCAGCTTCCATTCCCCGCCTCCCTTTATTAGAAAACCTTTAATTAATATATGTATATATACATAATAGGTAGCAATGGAAGGAAGGTGACTATATCCCTCTAAAGCTGCAACCGATAAAGATTCTGATGTGTTTGAGCAGCGTCCATTGAAGATCAAACCCAAATGCAGGGTAGCAATAGTCAGAGTTATGGTGCAAACTCCTTTGCAAAAATGCAATATGCAGCTGTAGCCAACAGAATTCATGGCCATAGGAAGATGTACCATCTACTTGCATAGGTGGTCTTTGTAAAATAACAACAGCAACAACCACAACACTCTATTGAAGTAACTGACGTAAGACAGGGGGTCTAGAACTAGTTAGGAATCACAATCTGTGCAAGGAAAGATTTCTGTCTCAGTCTGTTAGAGTTTTCTTTTGAGCAGATGCAGCCAACCAACGTATTGGAGTATTGAGCTCTGAAATAGCCTGTGCAACTCCCAGAACCCCAATTTCTTCTCCATTATGGTTGGCTTTGTCCACAAGATACTGTCCCCTTTCCACTCCGCTTGCTAGGTGGGTGGTGGGCCATTGTATTTCAGCATAAGGTGGAAAGACTTGGCATAGCCATTTGCTTGAAGACAGGTGGGCTCAGACAGGGACAGAGAGGAAGGGTTGGCCCAAAAGAGGAACACCAGCAACAAGGCCAGAAGGAAGAAGATCATCAGTCTGTTCCAGATGGGGAGAGATTTTGGGAGCTGCTGGGATTGGAACGGGAGGTTGAGCCAAGATGGTGGATCACATCTGGAAGGAGAAAAGGCAAGTCTGTAAAGCTGGGAGGCACCGGAAAATCTGTGATTGGGATGTCCCTTTGCAAAAATGTTGTTATGCATGCACCTTCAAGTCATTTCTGATTTATAGGCGAACGTATCATGGGATTTTCTTGGCAAGATTTGTTCAGAGAAGGTTTGTCATTGGCTTCACCTGAGGCTGAGAGTGTGTGACTGGCCCAAGGTCAACCAGTGGGTTTCATGGCTGAGCTGGGAATCGAACCTGGGTCTCCAGAGTTGTAGTCCAACACTCGAACCGCTATGTCTTGCTGGCTCTCGCAAAAGAGTTATGGATGAGTAAATCTAGGTAACTCATTTGTATTCATGATTGTACTACTGCCAGGATTTAAGTCCCCCCAACCTACTTTACATGACAAAAAGTAACTTCTCCAAGCTCTGACTGGTTATCAGAAAAGACAACCAAACAGGTCTATTTTTAACCCAGGTTTCTTTTGTACATGTGTGTTTCATCAATCCGTTCATTCTCATTCCCGCTTTAATCTTGGATTTCTTTAAAATCCGGAGAAAATTTGCATTTAAATAGACATCTAATATAATATTTTTCTTCAGACCAGCCAGTCTTCACATGGAAAAGCAGAGCGAGAAGGAAAGCTACCTTGCATTTTGCCTTGGCCAGCAAAAATGTATTGGGATGGATTGGGGGGGGGGGAAGCTGTGGGTATTTAGGAGTGAGGGAAAGGAACTCTGTACATGCTCAGAGCATCTGTGAGCCGTTTCTCTGGACCTCTCCAGTCTCTCTAATTCCCCAGTACTTCCTCCCTGAGTTTCCACATTTCTGAATGGCACTGGGGACTTATGCTAAACCAGAAAGTATTTTGATATTTGAAATCAGCATTTTGATATTTCAAAAATTCTCCACCCAATAGGTGTCTGCTTTATTCTAATCTCAGACCCAGAATTTAAAGATCTGAGGCTGGAATGGAACATGAATTGCAATTATTTACATCCTGTAAATGCAAACATTATATTTTAATAATTTTAACTATTGCTTCTACCAGTCCTGAATCTCTCACCACCATTCAGCTTCATTGAATGATCCAGCATTGAAAAAGAGTAAGATAAATACTTCCTTTTTAGTTTTCTCTAAGAGCTTGGAAGGGGTTCTCTTTTTGGGGGATTACAGTTCCCATAATCCCCTAGCCAGAATGGGAGAAGCTAAAAGCTGCAACCTAAAAAATGGGAACATGGTCCAAGCTCTGCGCTGAACTAGCTGTATGGAGCATATTTCACCAGATCTTATACTAGATGCATTGGTTGCCTTCCAGCCCTTTTTCAGGGCATAATTCAAAGCGATGAGATCTAGAAACGCTGCTCATTAAACCATGCCCTCCAACATTTCACAGATGCAAACCAGGACATGCATGGCCAAGCAACATCAGAGTGTGGTCAAGATAGCAGAAGTTACTCTTTCACATTTTTGTGCTGCTTTTAAAATGTCCCAGTTTCTCTCTCCTCCTCCCACTTTCCCCTATTATCTTCAGTTGCTGCAAAGTGAGTTCAACATGCAAACTGAGTTTGCATTTGGTTAAGACAGAAAGAGGATAGGCCAAGGGAGGGAAGAATCTTGCCCTGCCCAGCAAGCTTAGGCAAAAGCAAACTGCTCAATCTTCTCTTGGCTTGTCTGTTTTCTTTCTTTAATAACTTTGGCCTTCTAGACCACTCTCTGATGTTGCTTGGCCACCTGTCTCCCTATGAAATGTTGAAAGATATGTCTCTGCCCCAAAAATGGGAATTCAAGGGGTGCATCCTTAGAAAGGAAAGGATGCTTCCAGAGGCTTCTTACCCCTTCTTTGTAGTTATTGCAATTTCTGCAGTCTGGAAGTCGAGCTGTTTCTCCTTGGAGATCTGCGAACAGATGCACAACCGGGGGAGGGAAAATGAGAGAGCGAGCAAAGGCTGGCAAGGTCTGTCTCTTCACATTTCCATCTGAAACACTGTTTTAAAGCACAGCGAGTGAGAGCACACTGAGACAGGAGCTATGAGACCACAGCTTGTGCCTGGAGCCCAGTAAATCCCATAAGGATGCCTTGGAACAGCCATTGGTGGGTCAAGCACATTACGCTTGAACTCCCACTGGAAGCCAAAATGATTAAATTGAGGCTGTCGTACTTTGGACACATCCAAAACAATAATGTGAAGCCAACCAAAAGAGATGCAACTCATCTGAAATATGATATTGGAGGAGAGGTCTAGGGATACCATGGACAGCCTAACATTTGGAAGACTACAGGTTTTCCTGGTGATAATACTTTGGAGGTGGGAACCTTGTAGTCTTCCAAATGTTAGGCTCTAGCTAGCATTTCTTCCAGTTTCTAGGTATGAATGTCAAAAACCTAAAGGCAACCAGAAGAGATTTACTTCATTTGATATATGATACTGGAGGAGATATCTATGGATACCGTGGGATACTAAAAAGACATATATGTGGGTCTGAGAGCAAATGAAGCCTGAACTCTCCCCAGGAGCCAAAATGATTAAATTGAGGCTATCACACTTTGGATGTCTCAAGAGAAAATAGGATTCTTTGGGAAAAGAGGCTAGTGCTGGAAAGGTGGAAGGCAGGGAGAAAAGGAAGACTATGCTACAAGTGGATTGGTTCAATCAAGGAAGCCATGGCTGCCCTGAATTTGCAAGACTTGAACACAGCTCTTAGTGGTCTTTCATTCATAGGGTTGCCATAAAATGAAGCCAGCTTGATAGCATATAGCAACTACAAATTTAGTAATGAGGGATATATACTCTGTCCTTCCTCTTGTAGTTGCAACATCTTCCACCCAAATATTGCATAAGTTCAAAGATATAGTAGGATAAAATAAGACGGGTAAATTTTGAAGCACAGCCTCTTATGATGACTGTCCTCCCCCAAAGAAGAGTCCAAAAGGCCCATCTATCTAGTTTTAAAAGTTTTAACAGTTTTCATCTTCATTAGGAGCAAGCCTTTGGTAAAACTAATGATCCTTGCCCATGCAATACCGGGACATCCCAAAAGTTTTGGATTACACCAAGGAAAGCTCATAGCAACACAATGTTGCTGAGAAAAATCTACTTTTCCTCCAGCTATACAGGGATTTTGAGCTACAACCTGAGATTTAGAAAAGGGAACCCAAAGGGGGTGGCAGTTAAGGTCACCATTCCTACTAATGAAAAGGTCCTAGGGTTTTGACCCCAAGATACCTAGTTTCACTACAATACTGATGTCCAGACTACTAAAATATCATTGAAAAGCTGAGCCTTGGGGTCATTCAGAACTCTTCCTCAGCTGGGTACTGCAAAACCTGAGATGATGCAACTCTGATTTGGTCATTTCATCTGTGGTTTTATTTGTAGACTAGATGGTTCTATTTCCCTTTCCTCCTTTGACTTAGTTGCATTTCTCAGTTGCCAGCCAAGTTGGTTCAACCAAAAGGCTTGGGGCTACATCCTGGGGTGACTGCTCTACCTGACCATTGCTCACCAGACCAGGTGGGGAGATGAGGGCAGGTTTGGCTTTCTTCTTGGTCCGCTGCTGTGGTTTATGCTGCTTTGCTCGGTGCCCAGTTATTGGAGATGGCACTGGGAATTTCCCCTTGGCACTTGGGGGAATGGGTATGCATATTCCAGCATCCTGCAGAACAAAGAAAAGAGACAGTGCTGCAGAGGTGAGGTTGCAAAAACAGCAGCCACTTCATCTCATGTCCAGAATACTTGGTTGTTGTTATGTGCCGTCAAATTGTTTCCAACTTATGGTGACCATAAGGCAAACCCTATCATGGGGTTTTCTTGGCGAGATTTGTTCAGAGGAAGTTTGCCATTGCCCCCTCCCCCAGAGGCTGAGAGGATGTGACTTGCCCAAGGTCACCCAGTGGGTTTCATGACTGAAGTGAGAATCGAACCATGGTCTCCAGAGTCGTAGTCAAACACTCAAACCACTATGCCATGCTGGCCCTTGGCCAGAACCCTATCGGATAGCTAAGTATGTGGGTTAAGTGGTATAGTGGTTTGAGTATTGGGCTACTCCCAAAAATGAATCTAATGTTTAACTAACGTAATATTGCCAAAGAAGGAGGCATGGTGGCAATCGCTGAAAATCCGTTTCTGAAACATTACATGAGACTGGATGGGAAACATGATCAGTTGCAAAGGTGGAATGAGGGGTACTCAGGATATTTCAAGACTCTGGATGCAAACTCATGATTATGCAGCTAAAATAATTTCTTTTTTTAAAAAAATGGAAACTCTAGAGAATTTTTGCTCTTCTGGATAAAGGGCTTACCTGTTCTGCTGTCTCCACTTGCATTTGCCTCTTCTCTTGGCAACTCTGGCCCAGCCAAGACTCAATACGTTTGGGGTCAAATCCCATCGGTTCAACTGGATGACCGCAGCTTCTTTTCTCTAGTGTCTGGTTTTGGGGCTGCTTGGGTCCCACAAGCTCTTCCCGAGAAAGAGCCTTCCCTAATAGAGAATGGGAAATCATAGCGGAAGTGTTGCCCTGAAAACGATGATTAAGAGGAAAAAAGGAAAACAGAAATATGAAAGAGTTTCTTTCTTGGCTTCTATAACGTTATTGATAATGTCATAATCACAAAAAAGGAATTGCACAAATGCAATGCAAATGCACACTCGTGCGGTAATCTCCTTGGTCTACTTCCATGCATCTGAGGAAGTAGACCAAGTCTACGAAAGCTCATGCAACAACTTTTTTTGCACAGTTAGTTTCAAAGGTCCTGCAAGAGGGGAAATATGATGAAATATAGAGACTTACAAACTGATCTTCAGCACCTCTGGAAAAAAGGAGAGGTGCTTAGGAGCAATCACAAATGGACTAGCAAAACATCAGAATTAAATCGCCACAGATGGCACCGCAAAAGCACAATTACAAAAAGTGACACAACTTGGAATGTAACATGTTACCCAACGATCCCTCACTGATTCCTAGATTCTAGGAATTCCTAGATTCTTGGATAGAATCTGGATGTAGACTAGAGAGATTTGGACTAGAGCCCAAAACTCTCATCTATAACACTTGGTAGACTGCGAAAACACCACCATCACCACTACCAACTAGATTTGGTACCAAACAACTCTGACTCATATTTGATCAATATTTTATTAAGGGACACTGAACCATGCACTTCTGAAAAGGTAGCCTGTTTTGCTTTTAAAGCATCACTTCTAAAGAGGAAGCTTTGTAAGGATGGTGGCAGGGTTACAGGATAGATTTGAACCACAACTATTTTTGAACAATTTCAGCTTTGCAAAACAATGTTATATGGTTTCAGTGGATCTGGTCCTTGCTATGTAATGTAATGTATGTATTATTTTTACAATGTATTTGATGTCTGTCTTGTATATTTTATATGAATTACTTTTGTAATGGCATATGCTATACAAATAAACTTATATACTTACTTACCAACAACAACAGTCCCAGCCACCTGGGATTAATAGACACTGTTTCCCAACCCCTCAACCCACCTCTCAACTATTTCTTGGTACCTACCATGAAGTCTTCTTGACTGCCATATCTCAAAGGCAAAAAACTGGACATCCAACGAGATGATCTGCCCTTTCGGTGGGGTTCTTCCAAATGGTCCACTCCTGTGAAGTGTGAGGAGCAGGTGAAAGTGATCCAGCTTTTCCTGAGTTATAAGAAACCTTTGAAGAATCCTTGCCTTGTTGGAATTTTATTTGTTTCAACTGGTTTTGAGTTTATGATTTCTTTGTTTTTTGACTTTTGTAAGTCTGCTCATTTATAAACGAGAGCCAGCGTGCTGTGAGTGTCGGACTGAAACTCTGGTGACCAGGGTTCAAATCCTCACTTGAGCATAAAAACCCACTGGGTGACTCTGGGCAAGTTACACTCTCTCAGCTTCAGAGAATGACAATAGCAATCCCCCTGAAGAAAACCCCATGATAGGTTCGCCTTAGAATCGCCATAAGTCAAAAATGACTTGGAAGCACAAAACCTTTTTTTTTTTTTACCAAGTTTGTTTTAACTGTTATAAGCCACCTCATGTTCCAAACCGGGGAGAAAAGGAGATGGGGATGAAGATGATGATGATACCATCAAGAATCAAACTTCTAATCTTTTTGGCAGGACTAGAATAATAATGCTGTTTGACATTGCTTTAACTGCCACAGTGCCATCCTATGGAATCCTGAGATTTGTAGTTTGTTGTGGCACCAGAGCTCTCTGACAAAGGAGGCTAAATAGCTCAGAAAACTACAAATCCCAGAATTGGATTGCATTGAAGCAGTTAAAGCAGTCTCAAACTGCATTATTTCTGCAGTGCAGATGCAGCCTCAGACTTTTTGCCCTCACAGGCCTTCTACTCACCTGTGATGGCACTGTAGTACGAGGAATCCTCTTCGTCGTGCGATGTGGATCCACCAACATCCACTGAAGGATCCCATTCCAAATCCATAGTCCGCCCTATGTTGGGAGCTGTCCTCTTGTGATGCTGTAGGAGGGCTTTCTTTGGGGTGGATTGGCACAAGGGATCCAGAGGAGAATGGGGTTGCCCAACATCCCCGTCATCCAATTGCAAAGAGTCCACTGAGAAACAATCAGACTCCAAGTCACTGTCACGGTCCGACACCCACTCATCCTCAAAGACCTGGAATAGAGAAGTTATTGGTCAGCATCTTGTTAGTGATGTACATGCAGTGGCGTCAATAGGGGAGTGTGGACAGCACTGGGAGACACCATCAAAGTAGAATTTGAGTGCAGTTATAACCACAAAAACTCCCTTGTGGCCCACTTTATATGTTTTTACCCTTGTGATCCCCCCTTTACATTTACATCTGGACATTGTGCCTCATCACTTAACATAGTATATAAATAAAATATTTTGTTTGCTTAGTGTGTGCATTTTCATATTTTAACATCTTACAAGGAAATAGCTCTCTTCCTCTTCCCTCAGGTAGAAGCTCCAAGCTCCTCCTCATCTTTCTCTTTTTTTCCAGGACAGAAAAGGACAGAAGGGGGAGAAATCAAGGTATCCAAGGAATCAGGGCCTCTCAGCCCCTGAGGTTGAGAGCATGTGACTTGCCCAAGGTCACCCAGTGGGTTTCATGGTCAAGAGGGGAATCAAACCCTGGTCTCCAAGGTCACAGTCCAACACTCAAACCACTACACCACACTGGCTCCTTAACTGGATGGGATACAGAGGGCTATTTGCCATTATGCCCCATCCAAAAACCTCCCACTGCCCAGCACAGATCAAGCCCCAGTAGAGGAACCCCTGTTGAGACTGCTTACCAGTGTGAAGAGGAGGGAATGGAGAGGCAATTGAGATCATGAAGATCTGGCTGCTCTAGGCCCCTGGGGGAAAGAAAAGGTAGGTGAGCTCCATCTGAGAGACACCCTCATTTTCTCCCCTACCAAGCTGAGACCAGCTGCATCTTCATAATCTGAACTACCTCTATCATCTCTTCCCATCAGTAAGCAGGCAGCAGGGCCCCTCCTGAACCATGAGGGTGTATGTGAAAACATGGAACAAGACATGCAGAGCTATGTACAAATATAGGATCTTGAATGCAGCTTCAAGGTGGAACAAACTTGTTTTCTGCTGCTCCGCAGGCAACTCCAACCTGAATCTGTGGATTCAAATTACAAGGTAGGAGATGCCCATGGGATGTTAAGAGCCTAAATATCTCCATGTCTACTTCACCTACTTATGACAATCCCCTTCTTCTAGTGCCTTGAGGTTTGACGTACTGTTTCCTATGTATAAAATGCTGACATTTGTACAAAATCCCACATGCCGATTTTGCACAGAATTAAGTCCTGAACTGCAAAAGTCCCGAACTGTGCAGTTATCAGAGGCCTTCTGACATCAGGAAGAAAATTACTGGGTCAGCACTTTGGAGAAAGAAATGAGTGATGAATTACATCCCTAGATTCCACGCCTTGCCTCTGTCAGCTCCACTTTCCATCCCTTCATCCCCAGTGGGCATCAACTATCCTCATCCTGCCCGTACCAGCCTCATGCTGACCAGTCGCCGGCGAAAGCGGAACACCCTGCGGAAGACTTCCTGGCAGAAGCAGCTCAGGTCCCGCA